CGATCTCTTTTTTAATATTTTTAACTATATTTCTTGATTGACATACTAAAATTTTCATTTTTCTTGCCTGATCATATAAATTTTCTGAATAATTTTTGTTAGTTACGATTATACCACTATCATCAGGATGATATGCTTTAATAAATCTATTTATACATTCAATATCATTAAACCCTATATTTTTGATACTTCTAAACTTACAACAGATAAAAATTTTGAAGTCTTCATAATCAGCAACAAGATATTTATCACAATCTGAATAGATTATTTCATCCTCATTTTCATAACTTCTACAAGAGAAACCTTCATTATTTAATAATTTCATTATTTTTTTTTTGTATTTTCGACATAGTTCAGTAATTTTTTTTTCCTAAATAAAAAAATATTAGAAGTACATCGTGAAGTCATAGTGCTTTTAAGTGAGTGCAGTAAGTCCTTGCCTCATTTTTTAAATTCTCAAATTTACATTAGGCGACTATTTTACTGGGAACTCAGACATAAAATCCCACTCAACTAGCAGTGTAACTTATATTTAAGAATACATATATTCAAGCAATACTTAGTAGAAAAAATATTCATACCTCATTGTTTTTTTTAACTTGATACTTTTTTACGCTTGAAAAATTACTCATGTTTCTTAAAAAAAAAGATTTTTTTGCTTACAAAAACTGTTTATACAGAAAAATTTTAGCATCATCTAAGAAATAAAAAAGGAGATGATAAAAGGTATATAAATAAATAAAATCTAATCTAAATTTAGAACAAAGAATATTCTAATTATCATAAACAGTTGATCATATTTTCTATATTTAGTTAATCTTTTTTTTTTACTCATAAATTTTATTGTATGATTTAAAGTCTTGTTTTATTTATACACACAATTGTTAGCTATTAAAATATATTTATATAGTTAAATAAACTGATTAAAATCTCGTTCAAATTTATATTCTATTTTTTATGAAATGGTTAATAAATCTTTATTACTTAATCTTGTAAATAAAGAAAGAAAAAAAAAAAAACTTAAACTACTTACATTAGACAAGTATGTTATATTATAATATTTATATTAATAATAAAATAATAATATTTATTTATTATAGTCATTTGAATAAAGCTACAAAGCTTCACAATGAATATATGATAAAAAAAAACAAATTAACTCATAATGATGATTCTGGTTCATTAGGTGTAAGAGTTAAAAAACAAAATTATGATTATTCATATGTTGGAGAAAATATAGCATGGAATTATGAAAATGAATATGATGTTATAAAAGGGTATATTTTTTTATTTAGTTATTTTAAAAGAAAAAATAATAATAAATATTTTTTTTTGTAGTTGGATGAATTCTGAAGGTCATCGTAAAAATATATTAAATAAAAATTATAAATATATGGGTATTGATTACTCTAAAAAATATTGGACTCAAGTATTTGGTTCTATTAAAATTTAAAATTATTTAAAATTTATCTTAAAATATATTTTACTTATCAATAAATATAAATTTAGATAAATTAAAAAATTATAATTATAAAAAATAAAAGCCATATAAATTTAACTTTTTTTAAATAGTTAAAAAAACATAATCATATTATAAATATTTTCATATAATGATTTCTTTTGCTTTCATTATGGGAATATATTTCAGTCATTTTTTCTTTAAAACTGTTTTCTAGAAATCAAAAATCAAATATACCAAAACAAATTCTGTATAATAACTTACAGAAAGAGGTTTAGAAAACAAACTCAATTATCAAAATTTGGAGATGCTAAATCTTACGAACAAGAAAATAAGAAAATTATTGAAATCTAAAATAAACTCATAATGTAACATCAAACCCTTCTGAATTAAAATTAGAATCTAATCTAAATCTAAAAACTCTTCTAAAATTAGAATAATTCTGTTTTTTTTTTTATTTTTTTATATTGTATTAAAATATCAGATAATGCAATTTATTATATAAATATATATATATTTTTTTTATTTTTTTTATATTGTATTAAAATATCAGATAACACAATTTATTATATAAATATATATTTTT